CACCCCCCCACCTCCATGGGCAATGCAGTGTCCCTGCTCAGGGTGGCACGGGGGGGCAGAGGGGCATCAGGTCGGGGTGCCCACAGGGACACGGGTGGGCACTGCCCCTCTCCTCAGCACCTCATGGCTGGGAAGGGGGATCCTGCCTCCTCTCCGCCGTGCACCCCTCCCCATGTAAATACAGAGATTTTTATATTAATTTAATAAAAGGACTTTATAAACAGAGCCAGAGCACTCAGGGGCTGGAGGTGGCAGGGGGGGCACAGCCAGCAGGCACCAGCTGAGCCTCACCACGGCACCAGGGTTGGCATCACTCGGGGCAAGAAGCCTTTCTTTACCCGGTGCCGGCTCACAGCGTGGCCTCGCTGCGGTACAGCAGCTGTGGGGGCTCACCAGGGCGGGCACTGGCACGGCGCCGGGCGGTGATGACCAGCGTGCCGGCCTCGGTGAGGGCACAGCTCACCGAGAGCGGGTCCGTGTCCTCGGGCAGCTGGCACTTGTGGGTGAAGGTGTCGCAGATGGTGCCATCCTCAGCCACCTGCGGGGAGGCAGTGCCGGCATGGTGGGGCACAGCACATTCCCAGTTACCCCAGTGCTAGTGATGGGGCAGCTCCCAGTCACCCTGGCTCCAGCAGGGAGTTCAGCAGGGCAGTTCCCAGTCACCCAGTGACTCAGGCATTTCCCAGTTACCCCAATGCCAGGAGGGAGCAGCTCCCAGTTGCCTCAGTCTTGGGGGTGGGGTAATTTCCAGTTACCCCAGTGCCAGCAGGGACTGTTCCCAATTGCCCCCCACCAGCAGAGAATGCAACGGGACGGGAGTTCCTGCTTGCTGCATTCTCAGTGAGGACGGTTCCCAGTTACCCCAGTGCTAGCAGGGGCCATTCCCAGTTACCCCCCCACCCCGCAGGAGGGGGTGCTGTGGGCCAGGACCCCCATCACTCCATGGCTAGTGCAGTGCGGGGGGGAAAATGCTGCCCCCCTGGGGTTCCTCACCTTCTCAGCCTGGATGGCAACGTGGCAGTTGGAGGTGGTCACCACGATGTCGGAGGGCTCGAACTGGCTGACGTCGGCCACCACCTGGTAGGTGTCACCCTGGGCGCGCACCCAGGTGCCCAGGCTGCAGGGGCACATGGTGCCCGGGGACCCTGCGGGCATTGGGGGGGGCTGCTGGGCACGGGGGCGTGGGGGCACTGTGCCCAGGGGCTGGGGCACTGG